AAAAAAAAAAACACATCATAGTAAAACTAATACCTTCTCAGCTTCGCATCGAAGCTAAAATGTATTTAACTTATTATTATTGTAGAGTTTTATAAACTTAATAATTTTTCTTTTTACAAAAATTTTAATTTTTCAATAGTTTCTGAGAAAATAAGAGTCTTACTAGATTTCAATCACTGTATAGAAGGTAAAAGAAGTTAAATTACATTAGTAGTATTTACATTATTATTTTATGGACTTACTATGTTTAAATCCAATTCGTTTGTAACTTTCTGTTTTTTTGAAACGTTAAAAATTGAAAATAATTCCTGCCTTTTTTCAGTCATATTTTTAAAAGCATGAAAATAACAAATTTACACAAAGAAATAAATTACTTATTATTAGTACTAAATTATAAAACAAGAAACAGATGAAAGATAACATTTATCAAAGAAATTTCCAAAGAGTATTACTCTATCAAATTTTGTAATTAACTAGATTTTAATCAGTGCACATACTTGGTAGTTTGTTATCATTTGTTGGACCAGAGTTAAAAAAAATTTACCTACAACCACGTTCGGAGTAACTGCTATTCCATTTATTATTACGTCTAGAATGTAATATTCTTTTTCAAATAACATTTTCTATGAATATAAAAATGAAAATACAGCCATAATAATAACTGTATTACTCAATAGTAATCAAAAATTAATAATAATTTCAATGTATATAAGGCCTAGCACGTTTTTGATAATTTGTAAAAATAATTGAATTTTAAATTTGGGGGGGCCAGCCCTGGGCCACATTAATTCTAAGGGGGGCCAGGCCCACCCAGGCCCACCCATAGCTACGTGCCTGGCCACGCGTTATCGCGTATCCCGTCGTCTATGGCCTTGAGACTAGACATTCACCCCTCCCCACGCCACGCTAACAACACGACGGTACACTATTCCTATAAAAATTTATTTTTAGTTATCGTACCCGTACACGTGTGCTTGTCATCAATATTATATATATATAAACAAATTTTTATTTTGACTGACCAATAACGTCCGCGTCTAATGCGCCTTACGTATTTATATATATTGTTACAAACAATGAGAACAATAGAAACCCGTTTCCTGACTTACTGAACACCCTGTATATTCCTACCGCCGTTTATACCTCGGGTATAACGTTAGTCCGACCCGCCCGGCCATAAAACACAGCTATACCTAGTGCATGATACTTTTACGTAGTTAAGTCGCATTATTTGTATATATATATATATATATATATTCTAATTACTATTAAAATTAATATATTAACACGATTTATTCTAATTAAGAGATATAAAGTATTCATTCCGATTACGAGGGATGATTTCCGTATCGTCATTTTTCGTCACTACCTCCACGTTCCGGGAGTGAGTAATTTACGCGCCTGCTGCTTTCCTTGGATGTGGTAGCCGTTTCTCAGACTCCCTCCCCAGAATCGAACCCTGATTTCCCGTTACCCGTAACAACCATGATATTGATAGTAACTACTATCATAACATGAAACTAAAAAGTAAAAAATAAATATAGTTTAAAAAACTAAAAAAACACGCTTTTAAAGTACATCGAACTAAAAAGTTAAAAATAATTTTTAAAATAATTATGAACAAAAAATACTAGTATTATTGTGATAAAAGCGTGGGTGCTTTGTGCCATATTTTTCGTATATTGAGCGCCCGACGCTTTTATCACAATAATACTAGTATTTTTTGTTCATAATTATTTTAAAAATTATTTTTAACTTTTTAGTTCGATGTGCTTTAAAAGCGTGTTTTTTTAGTTTTTTAAACTATATTTATTGTAAAAAAAATTCTTTTTTATATTTTTAACTTTATAATGCTATAACTTTTTTAAAAATGACAATATCAATATAATTTTTTTTTTAGATGCATGATGTCTTTACCTATTATTTGATATACTTTTTTATAAATTTGACCGTTTAACTGCCTATAGGGGGGGATTCAAAATAACAACTTTTTCACAAAAAAATTACTTTTACTAAACTTTTGAAAGTGTTTCGGAAAGTCTGACACTTTTATATATATCTTAAATTAAAACTAATATAATGACTTTATTATGAAAAAAAAAAAACTCGGACTTTATAAAATATATATTTTGTCTTCGCGGTGAAAAGCGCTACAGAATGCTATTTTTATGTAAAAATTCTCGATTATATTTTTTACGTTTTTAACTTTATAATGCTATAACTTATTGAAATGTGAATGGATCAACATAATTTTTTAATGAGAAATAATATTCTTTAATAATCCCTTTTTCATTAAACATATTTTATCTTAATCAGGATATTAATAAGGAAATAGCAGATCATGTAGCTTTTGGAAAAATCCACCAATTATTTTAAATTAAACACTATCTGAAGATATGCATCGAAGCGTTTTATTTTATAGTGATTTTAATCACTGTCAGATATCATTATACTTGATCCAACTATGTCACGTCAGCACTGTGCTGCGTTTTTTATTTAATAAAGTTTCTTTAATTTAACCTAACCACAAAATCTCCTTTCCGATTACCTACGCTACTTTCTTTCTTAAAAGGGCAGAGATCAGACTGGTTGGTCGACAAGTGGCAAGACACCTTCCAATTGATTGGTATAGCGTATTGTTTATGTACAATACGCTATGTTAGTGTTCTACATTCTGATTGCCCGCATTATGTCCATTCTGAAATCGACAGAGTTCATACTGGCTGGTCAATAAGATGAGAGACACCTTGGAGAACGCATATGAATAATTAAATCATTGATTGTGATATTATGCCAATAACCTGATTTTAAGTTTAGAGTCGTATAAATATTCATTCCCCTCACATTTCTAATCATGTCGTTTAGATTAGGCATGGGATACGCGTCCGAAATGGTTACTTCGTTTAATCATCATTAATCTATGCATATATGAAAAGACCCGTCTTTTTACTCAGCACTCTTAAATGGTAGAGCACAAAACTCTTAATCTCAGGGTCGTGGGTTTAAGCCTCACGTTCAGCGCCTATACCCACCATTGGGGATTGACGGTCGGTCATTGAAAGTACACCGGAAATTGTATCTAATATTATCACTAGGTAATATTACACTACCTAAAACTATTGAAGTGTTACGATTAAATCCAAATATTGATTTAAGATAATGTATAAAATATTTAATAGATAATAGTTAGAAGAGTTATAAAAGTTGACAATTAAATCATTCCACTCTGTACATTGAATTTTAAAAAATAACTATATCAAAAACTAATTCAAATAGTATTTTTTGAAATAGAAATTTAGATTTTAAAATACCAACTCCATATATTATGCCATTAAAATTAATTTTTCTTTCGTAAAAGAAACAATTTTGGACAAGTTATGGTTATGTGATTTATTAAAAAATAATTATTTATTTATTAGGAAAATATGATTACTACAAAATAAACATTATGAGTGTTACAAACAATAAAACTAAAATAAAACAATGTTGTTTAAATTTCTATTTTATAACTTCACTTTTTATTACTTCGATTTGTATATTATAAATTTTTCTTTTTCAACTTCAATTGGTACGATGGAGTTCTCACTCTTGGACGTATTGTTACTGGATATCCATAAACGCTTTTCATCAAAACTTCAAATTTTAACTTAATGTCAGACATTTTACAACCTGTATGTACACTATAATTTCGTAAAAATGTTGACAGTGTAACTTTCATAGAAAGCATTGCATATTTCATTCCTAAAATTATATAAAATGGTAACGTTTCATTACATTCTAATATACAGTTAATTTCAATAATTAATTATTAACCTATGCAGTTACGAGGTCCACCACTAAAACCAATAAAACTATACTTGTGTCGTTTAGCCACATTCTCTGGATCAAAATTCTCCGGATTGAATTCCCAGGGCTTTGGATAAAATTCCGATAGATGATGTGTACCTATTGAAGGTATTACTATAGTAGTGCCCTTTGGAATGATGTGGTTTGCTTAAAAAATATACGAATTTATTTAAGAACTATTTTAAAAATTAAACAAAAAAATTACTTATTTTAATATTTTCTTGAGCACGTCTTAAAATAATGGGAAATATTGGGTATAATCGAATAGTTTCTTTAATACATTGTTCCAAGTACACAAACTTAACCGTATCTTCGATTGTTAATGTTTGATCACCATTTCCCATTACTTCATAAATTTCATTATAAACTTTATCCTATAAATTTCAAACTAAATTTTTAATACTATATCTCATTAATAACATTTAGAAAATAACTACTTGTATATCTTGATGGATAGCTAACATTAAAATACAGAAACTGATGGTTAAAGCACTTGTTTCAGAACCCTATAAAAAATATTACATTATTGGATTAATAAATAGTTATTAGGATAATTTTTACCGCTGTCATCATAGTAAGAACTTGATCTTTTAAATCTTTATCCGAAAAATTTGCTCCCTGATCATTTAATTCTAATAATATGTCCAAAAAAACTTTTAATCGCTTTGCTAAAAAGATAACGTATAATATGTTATAATAATCAATATAATAAAATTAAAGAATAAAAAAATACTTTCGTTTTTAACAGTTTTATTTTCAAATGTTTTCCTCTGGATGTATTCAATTTTTTTTTTTTTAATTATCTAAATTAACATTTTTATTCATTAGATAAACAAAACATAAATAAATATATATAGAATGTATCAGAAACCAGGTTAGAAAATACTGAATATCCCTCCAAAAAATATCGTTGTAATCCTTAAAACTTCCGATTTATAAATGAGAAACAATATCGGCTGTATTTCCATATCTATTGTGGCCACAAATAAAAACAAATGTATTATAAAAAAAACTCTGAACAGTGGGGACATTACAGATGATATCTGTCAGTAATTAAAATCACCATCATAAAAAACGCTTCAATGTAAATCTATAAATAGTTTTTATTTTTTAGAATAAATTATTGAGTTTGCTGCGTTCATCATCTAAATATTTCATGATAAGGTGTTGTTGATTTGTTTGTGTGCGTTCTAGATAATCAGCTGTGTATAACCTCGGACCGGTTCATGAATGGCATTTGCACTTTTCGCCGTCTTCATTGTCACCTCATAATAAATATTAGTTCATGTTTCTCTCCGTAATTTACTTAATTGAATTTGATTAAATTTGTTGATCCCTACCTATAAAGGCTAGCCGAAGTGTTGCCATTGGACTGCCAGGTCAAGCGTCGGGCAAGTTGTTGGAAATTAACCAAATTCGGAACTGGTTGGGTTAATTATTATATAGTAATATTTTCATTACAACGATTTTGTGTATTATTATTATTTATTTATTTTTTCATGAGTGTCATCGTGTAATTTTTATGACATTGGTTGAACCTGCCTCCAATTACTTGGAGGGTATAGCCGTCGTGCATTAGCGATAACGCCATGCGTTGTGTTCGGCGAGTACCCGAAAACGTTCATCGTATTTTATAATTATAAAAGTGTATGTGTAATAATATTTTTTAATGATTTTAAGTTGAAACATACAGTTAAAAATTTTAACACAAAAATATCATGTTTTTTAACTTCGGCAGCCATTTCATAACAAATCATTGTAATGATTCGTTTCTGATAATTATCAGAAACTATGATTTCATGGAGTTCACGAGAATATAAGCTGTTATTTTTTACATATAGTTTGATAATTCAATATGACAAATTCATATGAAGTGATGGACAAATAATCGTCATACTTTTATGAATTTGAATCAACTAGTTACGTACATTTTAATCAAATTGACCCATCCTTAATCCAGATTCTGGACGCTTGAACACAGGAAATTTGGACGCGCCACAATGGAGTATTATTAAGTTTTACAGTGTTTAAATATTTATATGTTTTATATTTATTTATTTTTATACTTGGAATTGTTATGTAATAGGTCAGTTATAAAAAGTTACATAATAAATTCTAGGTAGAAATTATATATGAATAAATTGTTAGGATAGGAGATTTTGTTAAAGGTCTACAATAACATAAAAGGTGTGGTCCCAACCTAGCGCACTTGATGCAAAATTTCTGATACTTTAAATGGCAATATTATTAACACACATAAAAAAATAAGCATAATTTAAAAAATAATATTGAGTATTTATATGAAATTCACTTGATCTGGTAGTTCATGACATTTCTTGTGTATTTGATGCCAGCCAGTTATTTTTGCATATATATTAAAAATAAAATTAGGATACAACCATGGTTTACACATTCTCGAACAAATAACTTTTGTGCCACTAAAAAAATGTATATTAAAAAGTAAATAAATTGATAAATTTATTCCCTTTTTTAATTAATAGTAGAAGTTTATAAGTATTTCAATATTTGATAATATTTTGTTTTTATATATCAATAAAGTAACACAGATAAATGTTGAATAAAATCATCATTTATTTTCGGTGCGGTCAACTAACGTTAGAACACAACAATAAAGGCTTAGCTACGATTTTGGGGGCATAATTTACTAAGATAGGATCGAAAAAAATTTTAACTGATTTGAAATAAAATTAAATAAATAATTTTATAATAATCATTGCTATTTAAAGCATAACTATTACTAATATAAGATATCTGATTGTTTATAAAAATCTATATAATTATAATATATATATATATATATATTAGGGTGGTCCTTATTTTTCAACTTCATAAATTCAGAATCATGGGCTCAAAATTTCGTTAGGTCCACTGAAAAAATTAAACTGGTAAAATTTGAGTACAATAAGTCAACCCCTTCACGTTCCTCAAAGGGGTTGAAATTCTTTAAAACTGAGGTGGATTATGTTTTTTTGAGTGTACTCTCTTTATTTTTGAAGTTTCGCCAAAAACACAAAGAACAATTTTATAGAACTTAATGTGAATAAAAAATAAGGTAATATATTATTTTTTTGTAAAATTAATATTTTTTCGTAAAAATAAAAAAAATCAGTTTTACTTCATTTTTTTTAAAAATGACAGTTTTCAGTTATACTTTTCCAGTGTCTTAAATTTTAATTGTACAAAACTAATATTAATCACCGTGATATCTTCAATAAAAAAGGTTATTTTAGTTTTTTCGAATTATGAATCCTTTCAAAATAAAAATTTAAAACCACTACGAAAACGTGTTTTTTTTTTAATTTTTTTGCACGATGTTTTTTTGTTCATAAATTAAATAATTTTCTTAGTTATGTTAAATAAAAAAAAAAAGAAGAAACACAATAAAATAATAATTGTAATAGATGAGTGTTAAATATTTTGGAGAAAAGCGCGTATTCCTACGCAGTATTCTTCAGACTATGTTATTAAATTAGAAAAATTGTATGAGAAATGGAGAAAGTTGGACAAAAATAAATCTAGAAAAACAGAAACACAAAAACAATATTATAATATTTTTTCTGAAGAACTAGACAACTTCTTTGACATTTCTCATATAGAAGCTCTAAATATGACTTAGATAATACTAAATAATACTTATAAATATAAGTATTGAAGAAGACAAACCGTTTTTATTGTCACAACTTAAAAAAGGCCGTCCTGGGTGCATGCTTGGTATTGATATGAAGTTAACACGTATTGAAAAACGTAAAATTACTCGACAAGAAGAAGAAGATAATCGAACAAAAAAAGAGAAGTTAGAAATCGCAAATTTTATAAGTAATTATTAAATATTACACAATAATTTCAGTACATTATAAGTAAGCAGTTTTTATATACCGAAGTATTTTATTATTTAGCCGAAGCTCAATATTATAGCAGCTCTAGCTCGGAGGACTAAGATATAGATATGGAGGAAAACGTTGAAGAAATGAGTCGATTACCTGGGTCTTCAAAAGAAGTAAATGCACTAGAAGATATATGTTGTTTTGTAGATGAATGTTATATTAAAATGAGGTTTTTAGCTGTGAATATTATAACAGCTCCTATAAATGATTTAATGTTATTAAAAAATTTATAAACCATTTATGGTATTTAAGTGATGAGTGTGCTGTGTTTTCTTTATTTGACGATCAACTTGATATTAATACTAAACAGCGAATGGCAAAAAAAATATTTTAAATTACTTTATTTGTATTATAACCTTTACTTTTACTATTTTAGGTGGTTCAACAATATCGCCAGCTGTATCCCAGGTGTAGCCGAATAAAAAATATTCAAATTAGAAAAACTATTATTGTGATAAACAATTATTATTTTATTGTGTTTCTTGTTTTTTTTTTTTTATTTAATTAAACTAAGAAAATTTTTTAATTTATGAACAAAAAAAATCATAATAAAAAACATGTTTTCGTAGTTGTTTTAAATTTTTATTTGGAAAGGATTCATAATTCGAAAATACTCAAATAACCTTTTTTATTGAAAATATCACGGTGATTAATATTAGTTCTGTACAATTTCTGCGTAAAATTAAAATTTAAGACACTGGAAAAGTATAACTGAAAACTATGTCATTTTTTAAAAAAATTAAGTGAAACTGATATTTTTTATTTTTACGAAACTTCAAAAATAAAGAGCGTATACTCAAAAAAAGAAAATCCACCCAATTTTGAAGAACTTCAACCCCTTTGAGGCACGTGAAGGGGTTGACTTATTGTACTCAAATTGTACCAGTTTCATTTTTTCAGTGGACCTAACGAAATTTTGAGCCCATGACTGAATTTCTTAAAAACTTTATTAATGAAATTTATTAAAAATATAATAATTTTGTAGAAAAAAATTAGAATTTTTTAAATTTATTGAAATACATATATATAGTTGTTTAAAAAAAAATTATATTTTGCAATTATTTAAATTATTATTTTACTAAATATTGATGTATAATAAAAAGTATAAATGGAAAAGTGCATATACTTGTAAAAAAAAAACTGTACAATACTACAAATTTGAACTTTTTACAATTTATTAAAAAGAGATATATTATTTTTTACCATTTTTAAAAAACAAAATGTCAGAAGATCTTATTTATTTTTGTCTTCTTTAAAAAATATTTTATACAACTTTATATGTATTCTTTAAATTTTAAGGGGTTCTTCTCTAACCTCCTCGTGTAGTGGTATCAAAAAATCACTTAATTATTACTGTCTTAGCGCAGCGACTAATTAAAAACGTCACTATAGTCGACTATGCTTTATAAGCCGTTTAATATTATCTAGTTTGTAATTAATTATTATGTGGATATATTAGATGTAATTATAAACTTATAAGAGTTTATTTCAAATCTTTCATAGTTTTGATAGGTTTAACGATTAAGCTTTCCCTAAAAAATTATTTATATACATTTATGAACTATTATTTATAATAATATAGATTCATGCTAATATAAAAACAGCCAAATGTATGATTAGACATACTTTCTGTGCACATTTGGAACTATTTGTTTATAATAATATAATAAATCATGATTTTAATCACTGCTAATTTTTAATCTGTACTGGTTTCAAAAATGTCTGATGATTGTTTCTATTTTATTGAATTTTATGTTTATTTATTTTGCTTTTTTTTTAGAATTTAAAGTTAAATTTAATTGATCTTTCAAATTAAGTTTTAAAAAATTGGTAAATTCATAGAATATTATAATACAAAAATAAATGTTTATTCAATTTTTTTGTAATAAAATGTTTAATAAAACAAAGCATATGATTTTTGAAGCTCTTACTCTTTAATTGCGTTGCTGAAGACATATTTATCATCACTTAGCGTATTACAGTTATATCCCATTGAGGTTTCTATAGAATAATTTGAGTATAAGTTTTAAATATTAAAATAAAATTAAAAGTATTATAGATAATATATTAGTATGGTAATATAGGGTACTTAAGGCCACTTCAAGGACACTGGGCGTGGCCAAATATAGCGCTAAAATGAGGTGCTAAATTGAAATTATGATAAACAATTTTTTGTGAACAATAGCTATCATCGGATAGCAGACGCTTAGGTCAAACATCAATGGTATCGCAATACTATAACGCTAATATTTTGATAACAGATAATATATATTATTTATCGCCTCATTTAATATTGTTTTGCGCCTCCCTTTATTATGATTTAATGTACGCCACTAATGTTACTTAAGGAGGGATATCTTCTCATTTTACTTTTTACATTTCAGCGCATGAAAGAAGCATCTCCTCCTCCCACCAAGATTTTTTAGTTGATATTTAGCTGTATACAGAGTGGCCCACCACTCACTGACAACTTAAATAACTTTTGATCCAGTTAATATTTTTAGTTGATTTTTTTTTTTAATAATAGTTATACGTTAGGTCTATAGCTATATCTCAATAATTAATTTTTTTACATTTTATTAAAAATATTAATTATTTTTAAATTTTAAATAAAATGTAAAAAAAAAATCTAAGATAGCTATTTTGTAGAGTAGAATTTAAGAAAAATTTTAGTAAAAAAATATCTTATTAATATTCAGTAGTAAATATTCTGTAGCGTTTTGAAGTTTGTGAAAATTTGAATTTTCATGTACTATTTTACGGTATTAAACATTGAAATACGTATTGAGAAAAGGACAGAAGAAAACGCTATCTTTTCATGATTACTGTGTATACATATGATGATAGTGTGTATACATTACAAACTTGGCATAAATACCATGATAAGAAATTAGATAAGGCAATTATTACTTATCACTCTCATTCAAAAGTATATTGAAAAGATAGCGTTTTCTTCTGTCCTTTTCTCAATACGTATTTCAATGTTTAATACCGTAAAATAGTACATGAAAATTCAAATTTTCACAAACTTCAAAACGCTACAGAATATTTACTACTGAATATTAATAAGATATTTTTTTACTAAAATTTTTCTTAAATTCTACTCTACAAAATAGCTATCTTAGATTTTTTTTTTACATTTTATTTAAAATTTAAAAATAATTAATATTTTTAATAAAATGTAAAAAAATTAATTATTGAGATATAGCTATAGACCTAACGTATAACTATTATTTAAAAAAAAAATCAACTAAAAATATTAACTGGATCAAAAGTTATTTAAGTTGTCAGTGAGTGGTGGGCCACTCTGTATAGTGTGATCACACTATCAATGTAAACAAACTAAATTTGAGTCAATAAGGATGATAAAAACAATACAATTTAGATTTTGAATAAGTTAATAAAAGTTATATTATTTAATTAAAGAGATTGCACTACTATCAATAGTAGAATCTGTGATTATTATCGATATCAGTGTAGGCTCGTGGGTCCTGGTGGTGGGGGTGTGACTTCAAATATAATAACGCTAGGTACAGGTATAAAAAACGGAAAACATTTATTAAAAAAAAACCCAGCACAGTGGGATCGAGGCATAGTGGGGACGTTGCATAGGTGGATCAGTATAGATTTAATCTGACAGTGATTAAAATCACTATCATAAAAAACGCTTCGATGCAAATCTGTAGATAGATTTTGAACCTACTATTTTTTGTCCTTTAAAGTGAAATTTTAATAAAAAAAATTAATTTATTACCATAACTTTTAGTTCAACTTGCTAGTTTGAAATTGACATTATTAAATAGAAAAAAATGAAATTTTTAAAATTAATATGCAATTAGGAAATTTTATAATTAATATTTACTGTACATTTATCAGAAAAGTTCAATTTTTAAGAGTAATAACTTAAACTAAATACGAATTGTAATCATTTGACGTATTGTTGAAATAAGTAGGTCTAATGAGGGTTGACAAAATAAATCGAAGCCACAAAAAGAACTACATAGTAAAATAATATTAACATCAATAAGAAATTTCTTCTCATGAGGGGAGACTACAATGATGAGATTATTGATATTTATTGAAGTTATTTAATCTAAATGAGATAAATATCAAATTGATTGGAACATTTTATTCTAACTCAAAAAAAAAATGCAAAATATTAATTGTCACAAGCGGATTTTAACCTCGTACCATAATCGTGAAAAACACAAGTGTTACTGATTCGGCAAGTTAGTTTTTGTAATAAAGTTTTAAATTTTAAATCCCCCCTGTGAGCAGAATAAGTGTTAGATTTTCAAAAAAAAAAAATGATATCAAATGAAAGGAAATTGTTTTTGTATATAAAAAAATATTATTTTGATTTGTTAATATTTGAAAAAGTTATGGAAGTTTTAAGTACAAAAAACATCCTGATAAAAGGTGATTTTTATCGCAAATATTACATTTTTTTTTAAATTTCGACAGCCATTTGCACATAGAAGATAAAGTGTGGGGACAAATTTTTTTTTTCATTTTATAGTATATTTAATATATGTTTAAGGGACGCAGTATTTCCGGAACTTTTTCAAAAGTTAAGTTGAAAATGTTTTATTTTTTAAACAATGTTTTAAGTTTTGAACGCCCCTTTTATAAGGGGAAATTATCCAATTTTAATATAAAGTATATCCAATGAAATATGTACTTATAATATATTTAGAAAAATAAGTTTCTGCTGATACTTACATTTTTCGAAAAGTTATAGCATTTTTAAATTGAAAATTTTAATACAAAAATAGTGTTTTTTTATCTAAGGCAGCTATTTGCATGCAGAAGATAGTGTCGGGATAATTTTTTTTTTTCATTTCATAGTACATAAAATAAGCTTTAATTTGATATATGTTTAAAGGACGCAGTATTTCCGAAACATTTTCAAAAGTTAAGTTGAAAAAGTTCGTTTTTGTAAAAAAGTTACTATTTTAAATCCTCCCCTGTGAGCAGGTTAAGTGTTAAATTTTCAAAAAAATTATATCAAATAAAAGGAAAATGTCTAAGGTTTCAATATAAAAAAAATTATGTTGATTTGTCAATTTTTGAAAAATTTATGGAAGTTTTAGGAAAAAAATTGACAAAATTTACTCATTTTAAAAATTGTAATTTTTTTAATCGGTTCAGTGAGAGCTGAGAAAAAGAGGCAACAGACATAAAAAAAAACACATCATGGTGAAATTAATACCTTCTCAACTTCGCATCGAAGCTATAAGCTCTATACAATTAGAATTGTAAAATATATATTTATATTTTTGCGAACCTTGTCTTGTTATTTAGTTTTGTATTGTATTGAAATTGATAAATAAATTAATAATTAAATAATAATAATTTAATGATTAATTTATTATGTTGAAATTTTGTGATTATAATTTGGAATATCATTCTATATGATATGGGGTATATTATAACTATGGGGTATTTATATTGTTATTCTTTTGTCATGCATTTATTATTTCAAAATGTTTCATATGGATTGTATTTTAAATAAAAACTGTAGTTTTAATTTAAAACTATAGTATAACAAGTGTTATGTATATAACAAGGGAGGTCTAAAGAGTAATTTCAAATGTACTGTTAATGTACAGTCAGTTGTAGTATAACCATGCATAACTCAGTATCTCTATCTAATTAATTTTACTCTAACATTAACACAAATTTTATTTCCTATCTACTTATTTACCATGATAATTATATTATTAATGTTTACTATATTGTGTCCTTTAGTTACAGACACTCAGCCTTCTTTTTTTTTTTTTACCGCTCATTATTTACCAATATGGGGGTACAAAACCAAACGTAAACTAACCTTTAGCGTGAGGTTGAACAATGAAATGCATTAGTTAAAATAAGGAAACCGTAATATATAATGTGAATTATAAAATTTATTAAATAATAAATTCACGTATGTGACAGGGATACGGAGCGTTGAACCGATTACATAGTAAAGAATAAATGTCCGTTCGTGAAACACCACTGATGGTGTCATTTATTTCATGAAATGCATACGACAGTGATCATTATTGTGCGGTGTTACCTTTGATATTGGAAATAGGCTTACCTAAGCGTCTGGTAGCCGATAAGAGCTATTGTTCTCATAAAATGTTTATCATAATTTCAATTTAGCGCTTCATTTAGCCACGCCCAGTGTTCTTGAAGTGCCCCAAAGTTCCTAAATTACACTACTTATATTTCTAAAAATAATAAAAATCTTTTTTTTTATTTAGAAATATCCAATTATAAATCTTATAACAGAATAAAAAAATATTAAAAATTACTGATATTTTATTACTAATTATTATCTCACTTACCACATATAGTATCAATTGAACTAGAAATTATATAATCAAAAATATCAAATGTTTCAGTTTTTCCTAGTTCTTTTTGAAGATTTCTTATAAAGATTGATGTTTTCTTATTAAAAATTGGTAAAAGTTGATTTATGAAAGAAGTATTGAATATGGGAGTAATTATTTTTCGATGCTGTTTCCATTTGTTTACTAAAAGCAATGATGGAAAATTTGAGGTTAATTTAAATGATTAATAAAGCATGTTTAAATACAAATTTAATCAAATACAATATAATTCTACTTAATTTATCTAGTTATTAACTATTAATTAAAACTCTAGAGTTATTTATAAAATTTTTATTTTTATTCTTCAAAGAAGTTAATATAGCTTTTAGAAAAATAGAAAATAAAAATAAATATATTCTAATTCATTATAAACATAAAAATTATTGTTCAAGTTTTAACTTGACTTGATTTCATTAATTTTGACCTTTGACAGGCAAGGCTATAATCTTACAGGAAGAGACAAGGCTGGTCAATGACCAGTGGTCACGGGAACCCAAGTTTTTTTTTAATTTTTATAACTATTTAATACTTTTTCTGTACATGAATATTTAATTTGTGGATATATACCTGTATAAAAATGTTTTCAAGGTGAAATATAAAATAAGCAAAACTTTTTTAATTTATTTATAAAATTTTTAATTTTGGTATTAACAAAAATTAAAAAGCTATTTGGTTTAATAATAATAAAAAATAAATGCATTTGCGTAATAACATGAAAATAACATAATCAAATAACAAAAATAAAACTTGTGTAATTTTTATTCGAAGTTCATAGATTCTTTTTCTAATGTTAACTTTTTGGTCACATGTCGAACAAATGCTGAATGGGTAAGAGGGGGGAGAACCGTCTATCAATAATATTTTTTGGTAAGAGGTACTTTTAAAATAGTTTTTGTAATGGGTGACCGTTTTTGTTTGTTGAGGGTTAAATATAAATTATTTTTTTACTTACCAGGAGCAGTTCCCAATCCTTCTCCTAAAATGTCTATTAAAAAATTATATATTTGATCTTTTTCGAAAGCTTTGGAACTGTTAAATATAATCTGAAAAATATCTAATTTTATATTGTCATAATAAAAGTGGTCTAAAAATAAAATTGCATCAAATATAAACACAATCAATGTTTCATCCAAAATTAAGTTGTACCATAGTTTAAAAGAATAAAAAAGAATTAGATTATTTTTTAGTATTTTCTAACTCAACTAAATCGCGAGATTTTTTTTATTTTAACGTAAGTAATATTGGATTAGTAAGGATAAAGAATATATAGTCATAATAATAGATATAGCTAGAAAAAAATAATACACCGTTAAAATTAAGGCCTTCTCTCCTTCGTTAGAAACTTAAAGATACTATGATTTTCAAAGAAATTTATTCTGTGACAATAAACATTTTGGGAAACATTTTTATTTAATAATGTAATTTAATGTTGAAAGACAAAATTTTATATTTTATTCATAGAAAATATAATTTTATTTATTTATTTTTATTTGAAAGAAAAAAAATTGTAATAAACATTACACTATAGTATGTCACTATATAATATGCTACTATTTTTTTTGTTTAATCATATATCGGGATTATAATTATTCTTTCTTGAATAATTTTTAAATACACAAGAGCTATAGCTAGTTAAATTTATAATTTGTTAACTTTTAACTGATAATTTATCGATATTGTTCCTACTTAACTTAACTTAAGTTGAATTAATTATTTTTATTAACTTGATCATCGTTGAAGCATATAATTTGTATAATACATGCATTATAAAAGTATATAATTATAAAATGAATTTAATATTAGCTATATGTGATCAATTTTTATTATATTTTATGAAATGAATAATTGTATTTTTAAAATAAATATGTTAAGTTAAGTTAAGTAGGAACAATATCGATAAGTTAACAAATTATAAATTTAACTAGCTATAGCTCTTGTGTATTTAAAAATTATTTAAGAAAGAATAATTATAATTCCGATATATGATTAAACAAATAACGGCGTCCAAAAAAAATAGTAACATATTATATTGCGATATGTGTATAGTGTAGTGTTTAATATCAAAATGTTTATTACATTTTTTTTTCTATTAAATACCGAAATTTTCTACTTCATAAGGTGTTATTCGATTCAACAATATCTTTAAAATTATAGGCTGAATTTAGAAGTGATTTTGCTCTATATTTTTCACAGTTTAGCTTATCGTCTCTTTTATGTATTGGTATTGTTGTAGCTTCCTTTCATTTTTTTTTGGAATTTTTTCGTTTTTCCATGCCTTTTGATATATTCTGAATATTAAGTGCTCCATTGTTTTTCCATCGTACTTAATGAGTTTTGCTGGAATATCATCAAATCCTGTTGCCTTTGAATTTTTAAGACTCATTAATGCTCTGTTGTTTTTTTTTCTTTAGTCACTTCGCTTATAATAACTTCCTTTCATATACTGTTATCTGTCTCAGTGAGCTTATGGGTATCTCCGCATTTATAAGCTCTACAAAATATTCTTTCCATCTCTCTACTTTTTCTTCTGTGACTTTAAGTGTTAATTTTTATGATTTTTAGTAATTTTTATAAGATTTATATTGTTTTATAGTCCTAAAGAAATTTTCACGATTTCTTGTGATTGATTTTGCTACCTGTAATATTTCATAAAATAATTATTTTTTTCTCTTTGAATATTTCTTTTACAATTTTTCCTGTCTCATATAAATATCTTTTGTATTTCTATTACTTTAACTCATTTAATTTTCTTGGCCAATACGTAGTCTTTCTACAGTTCTTTGACAGTTTTTATAATACCATTTTGTTCTATTATTCCTACTTTTTTCCAATATTTCTATTGTGATTTCTCTAATTACCTTGCAAACTGGTACTTAATCTTACTCCATAATTACTGGATTGAATCAATATTTTTTTACACACTCGCCTATACTTTTTGAATATATGTCTTAAATTTGTTCGTCCTTAAGTCATTCTAAATTTATAGTTGTGCTTTAATTTTTATCAAATTTTTTGTGACTATGTAATTTATTATGTAGCATTAAACTCTTTTACTCATGGTTCTAAATTTTTGTGTACTACAAAGACACACCCAAACATATACTCTATTCCTATTCCAAAACAATAAATAATATACTTATCGACTTTTAGCAGTCCTTTTTCTGGTCATCTTATTTATTGAAGAGCTATAATCTTTATTCTATAAGCTTCTAATGTGTCGGTAAAATATTGGTAAGGTATTAAAAAGGGTTCAAGCCGCAATCTTAAGCTCCGAATTTATAGTTCCTTGTTCAGTTTTAATTCTATAACTGTGTCCGAGACTGAATCTGTGATGATCTTATAACAAATATCTTTTTAAAAGGCAGAGTTGTTAACACTGCATCCAACCACCAACTAGGAAATCCCGATTACCTTAATCAGTTAATATAAAAGTAGTACCTTTTTATTTATAATTTTTTTTAATCTTTTTGTTTTAAATATATGAAGCTCAATAATCATAAATTAAATAAAAATTAAAACTCCAAAAAATAAGAAAAAAAAATTCTTTAGAACTATAAGGTTTTAATTTTTAAAAATATATTTTTATTTTTAATAAATAATAATATTGACGGATTGATAAGGAAAAGTGAAAGAAAAAACAAACTAATAGCTGGACTTAGTCAAAAATATCCTAATAATAATAAATAAATAATAAATTGTTTTGTAATACTTAAAAAAATGTGTCTTCTGAATTTTAACTTACAAATAAACAAATTTTCACCTTTATTATAACAGTTATACATACTTCTAAATCTTCAGGATTGGACAAAATTACAGCTAGTGATGATCCTAACCAGACTTTAAATGGTTCTGAACCAAACTTTTCAGTTAATTGTATTAATTTTTCCATTATTTCTAAATGTGAAATATGATACTACTTATTTAAATGTCACTCGATATTTGTGTTTAGTTAATTAATTATAAGTTAATTATTATATTGGGGGTTAAAATTTGGGTGCAGCTCGTATTAGTGTATGTGCTCTCTGGATGCGCTAATTACCTAATTTGTGTAACCTAAATTGTGTGTAACTCAATAAGTATCAAAAATTTGTTATCGACCCATTAAATATATTTACAAAAAAATTGCTATAAATAAATATGTTGAAATTTCGAAAAAGTATAAACCCTTTTTTAGCTTCGATGCGAAGCTGAGAAGGTATTGGTTTTACTAAACTGTTTTTTTTTTGTGTCTGTTACCACTTTTTCTCAGCTCTCACCGAACCGATTTCTTTCAATGATACGTCAAAAGATCACAAATCGTATCTAGTCGAGACATTACCCTCAAAAATTGAAAAAAAATCCCTCGTTCCCCGTAAATGGGGGAAACCTCCAAAAAAATAACAAAATTTAAAAATCGCTAATATTTGAAATGTTTTCAATTTTTTTTACTTAAAATTACTATAACTTTTTTAAAAATAACCAAATCAATATAATTTTTTTTATATAGATGCATGATATCATTACCTTTCATTTTGGTATATTTTTTTTTACATCTGACCCTTTACCTGCCCACAGGGAGGGGATTCAAAATGACAACTTTTTCACAAAAAATTTACTTTTTCAACTTAAATTTTGAAAGCGTTCCAGAAAGTCTAACACTTTTATATATATTTTAAATTAAAGCTAATGTATTGTTATTTATTATGGAAAAAAAAAATTTCGGACTTTATTTTATCTTCACGGTGAAAATGACATCCGAGTGCTATTATTGTGTGAAAATTCTCGATTTTATTTTTTACATTTTTAACTTTATAATGCTATAACTTATTGAAAAGTGAATGGATCAACATAATTTTAATGAGAAATAATATTTTTTAATAATCTCTTTTTCATTCGATATACTTTATCTTAATCAGGATATTAATATGGAACTAGCAGATTATGTAGCTTTTGGAATAATCCACCAATTTTTTTAAATTAAATACTATCTAAAGATTTGCATCGAAGCATTTTTTTTTGATAGTGATTTTAATCACTGTCAGATATCATTATTTTTGATTCAACTATGCCACGTCACCACTGTGCCGTGACCCCCTTGTGCTGGGTTTTTCTTATTGAAGACAAATAAAATATATGTTTTGAACGTAGTCCAAAACAGTAAAATTTATCTATCAAAAAAAAATAACGCATTAAAAAATTTTAAATGTCTAACTATGGTGAAACACCTTATCTATTTAAAATGCAAAATTTTAGAAAGTCATAATTTTCGTATACAAAATGATTACTTTAATAATAGCTATCATTTTTTCAAACAGAAACATGCGTATTTATCTAGCTTACATAATAAAAAATAATTTAGTAAAAAAATGACTGATCGATAACAACTTTTGAAATTTTTCTTTAGAAGTTGATAATATTTTTATATATAAAATGGAGAAAGAGCGCGTATAATGCGTAATAATAAAAATAACATAATCAACACCTCACATCCACTCTATATTTAAAAATAGTTTTAATTTCCAAATTAATAGATCAAAAGGTTTAATTATTATTTCCGTGGCACGGAATACATGAAGTAGTCAAGCGTCTGTACCACAGAAAAATTATGATATGTTGGTGGGTTTTCATATACGATTGTTGTTACAGAAAATAATTAGACAAATATATATTTAGGTAATTAGATAAAAAAAATAAATATTAAAAGAAACAGAAAGAAATGGTAATATACATATTAATATCTATTGAAGTTTACATTTTATAAAGTGTCTATCAATAACAACACTACACGACAATATAAAACTAGTTTATCACTCCGTTACTTAACTGTCAAAACCATAAAACTAGCTGTTTTCAAATATTACAGTTATAAATTGTTATATTTAAGTATTTAACAATAAACAATTGATAAATAAAAATCGCTCAGAATAGTGTTCAAAATGTATTTTATATATCGAACTTGTTTTTTATTTATTATACAGGGTGATTTTTTTATCATAACCCACTCAATTACTTACAGAATAATAATAATTTAAAAAAAAATTTTTATTTTTATCTTTAGTTACACATTATTCTTGAATTATTAATTGGTTTTTTATGATATTGCTATCACAGTCGCGGATTGTTTATTATCAATTATGACTATCAATAGATATACTTTTTGTATTGTCAGTTGGTGTATTTATAAACTCATGTACCTTACTATCATTGATAATAACAATGCTGTGTACCTGCTAATATCGATGTCATAAAAAATCAATTAACTACCTGTATTTGTAATTCCTTGTATATTATACCTATACATTAACTCAAAAATTTGATACTTTAAATGTTTATATCTAATAAACAAATTAAGTTTCATTAAAAATTCAATCGCCATTTACTATTAAAAATCCAAACATTTTATTAAATTCAAAATATGTGTTCCCATTTAAAAAAACAAAGTTGACACCCTTATCAGACATAAGGGATTAATTTAAAAAGTATTACATAGTTAAAAATTCAAGAACAATATGTAACTAAAGATAATAAAAAAAAAAATGTTTAAATTATTATTATTCTGCAAGTAATTGAGTGGGTTCTGATAAAAAAATTACCCTGTATAGTTTAAATTACGTCAATTAGGAATACTGTTGGTTTTTGTAGAAAAATCGATTATAATTAAATATCACTGATTAGCAAATTTTTTAAACTGATTTATACTTTTTTTAAATAAAAAATAATAATATTTTGAACGATTGTTTCAAGTTTTTTCACAAAAATACAATGTAATGATCAATGACAAGATTTACTGAGAAAATGTATATAGTTTTTAATTTATAATTTTTATTATCAGGCATTAAACTAAATAAGTATACAAAAGCATGAATTATTAAATTCAATTATTAAACAATATTATTATAAAATTTACCAACAAATTTTTACATATGAGCTTAATTTTTTGTTTGAATAGTATAAATAAAATTGAATTTTTTTTTTAATTTCTTAAATTATATATATTTTCTTTTTAATAAAATTTATAAATATCTGTTTTATTTTAAACCAAAATGGCCATTAATTAAAAAAAAATCTCAAAAACTCACGTAATTCTTAAATTATTGTATTTTTATACCACTAAAATAAAATAAAAATTTAATTATTTATTTACTCTATAACTATTTAATTTCAATTATAATGAGTTTGATAGTAATTACACATAAAGTTAGTATTTTTGTAAACTTTAAAAAGCTAATTATTCAAGACTAATTAATATCTGGATGCTTACTTAATTTGTTTGATTTAAGAAAAATATTTTAATTCAACTCCTAAAGAAATTAAAATTTAGACTAATAATTTAAATTGATTTTTGCGTATTTCAACAGATCAAACTTCAAGTAATGGTAAATTACAGTTGTAATTATTCGCACAGAACTTTATTTTGATAATTTATTATGTTAATGTTATTTAATTTTGTCCCTGTATAGTTAACACTAAAATTTTATCTATTAATCTCAGGATTCTACGAAATTTGAAACTATTTAAAATTTAAATTATATTGAAAATATTTAACTCCAAAAGCCACAAAAAAATTACTAAACTATTGTGGATACAATTTTCGGCAACAATGTTACCATTATCAACGCTAAACACATACTCAATATAATAATAGTAATTATTAAAAATATAATAATAATTTTAATTTTAAATAATTATCCACAAGCGATCAATTTTTATTATATTGAAACTATGTAAGCTAAACTCAAATAAAATAGCATAACTTTACAAGAACTCTGAGGGTCTGCCATGGGTCGAGGCAAAGCCAGAGCACCATGGATTTTGTACCTTATTCTAGGGTGAAAGATTATTAAAAATATTTGTAGTTTAATACAGTAATTATCAAAATTTATTAAATGTTATAAAACAATTTTATCACAATATAACAAAATAGATGGACTATGGCCATTAATTAAAATAAATTAAAAAATTAAATAAAGTAAAATCGAATACACAAAACCCAACATAATAGGGGTAATATATATATATTCCACAAAAGGTTAAATAGATAACATTAAATAAAAAACAGTATTAATAATAAAGTTATGACCAGGGATAGAGAATTCATGAAATGTCTAAGATTATAAATTTGATTGAAAAGTTAGTTAAAAATTGTTTATACTAAACAATATCCAATTAATATTCCTTTTGCTTATATCATTTTTAGTACTAATAATCATTAAGTCCAGATATATGTAGGATAATTCAATGTGATTTACCACAATGATATAAAACAGGTCATCTACATACATTTAGGCGTCGAAATGGCTTATGTGTTCTCTAACAAGAGCAATGACACAGTTTTAATACAGCGATCACACGACTAATATTTAAGTTTTTATTACAAAAACAATCAGTATGCATACAGAAATATTAACTGTGTAAAAAAAACTGTCTACTTGAATATACTAGAATTTCACTGTCATACGCAGAATTAAAAACCAATTTAAAGTACCAACACTATAGAATAAAAGAATAAAATGTAAGGAACATGAGCATGGCAGATCCAACGCATGTGTCAGGGTAAAATGGACATGTCACCAACGTCAATGAGTATTCTCTACATAAATGCAAAAAATACTCAATGAGATGTTCACCATGTCCATCCGAGGACCGGACATCTCAAGGAAAGGACAAAGAAAATAAACGAATTTTAGATAGAATTGATCATTAAAGATAATCAAAATTATAGTTGATCTGTACATAGTCATTAACTAATATTGAAAAAAAATCAGACCACATGGTCAGATAATCAAGAAATAAAAACAAAAATTAATTAATTAAAAGGTGTATATAATGCAAGGATACGAAAAGAATAAAAATACCACATAATAATCTAGATGATTTCCAAGTTTTGATGGGTGATTATTATGATGCGGTGCCCT